TCTTCATTCCGGTTCATTTCAAAGAACATCTTTATTTCTGCCTTCATCTCATTGTTTATCCAGTCAACATTCAGAAGCAAGTTGTTCAGTTTCCAAATTGTTGTGTGGGTTTGAGTGTGTTTCTTGATCCTGAGTTCTAGTCTGATTGTGCTGTGGTCTGATAGGCTGTTTGTTATGATTTCTGTTATTTTGCATTTGCCGAGGAGTGATTTGCTTCCAATGATGTGGTCAATTTTAGAGTAAGTGCAATGTGGTGCTGAGAAAAATGTGGAGCGGTCTGTATATGTCTATTAGATCCACTTGGTCCAGCTGTGCATTCAATTCCTGTATATCCTTGTTAATTTTCTGTCTCGTTGATCTGTCTAACATTGACAGTGGAGTATTGAAGGCTTCCACTATTATTGTGTGGGAGCCTAAATCTCGTTTTAGGTCATTAAGAACTTGCTTTATATATCTGGGTGCTCCTGTGTTGGGGTCGTATATATTTAGGATAGTTAGCTCTTCCTGTTGGATTGATCCTTTTACCATTATGTAATGTCCTTCTTTGTCTCTTTTGATCTTTGTTGGTTTGAAGTCCATTTTATCAGAGACTAGGATTGCAACCCCTGCTTTTTTGTTGTTCTCTGTTTGCTTGGTAAATCTTCTTCCATCCCTTTATTTTGAGTCTATGTGTGTCTTTGTATGTGAGATGGGTTTCTTGAATACAGCACACTGATGGGTTCTGACTTTTTATCCAGTTTGCCAGTCTGTGTCTTTTGATTGGGGCGTTTAGGCCATTTACATTCAATGTTAATATTGTTAAGTGTGAATTTGATCCTGCCATTTTGTTACTGGCTGGTTTTCTTTCTCATTAGTTGACTCATTTTCTTCATTGCATTTTTGGTCTTTGCCAACTGGTTTGCTTTTGCAGTGACTGGTACTTGTTCCTTTCCATGCTTAGTGTTTCTTTCAGGAGCTTTGGTAGGGTAGGTCTGGTGGTGACAAAATCTTTCAATAATTGCTTGTCTGTAAAGGATTTTATTTCTCCTTCACTTATGAAGCTTAGTTTGGCTGGATATGAGATTCTGGGTTGAAAGTTCTTTTTTTTTAAGGATGTTGAATATGGCCCCCACTCTCTTCTGGCTTGTAGAGTTTCTGCCAAGAGATCTGCTGTGAGTCTGATTGGCTTCTCTCTGTGGGTGACCTGAACTTTCTCTCTGGGTGACCTTAGCTTTTTTCCTTCATTTCAACCCTGGTGAATCTGATGATTATGTGCCTTGGGGTTGCTCTTCTTGAGGAATATCTTTGTGGAGTTCTCTATATTTCTTGAATTTGAAATTTTGACTGCCTTGCTAGGCTTGGAAAGTTCTCCTGGATAATATACTCGAGTGTGTTTTCCAGCTTGGATTCATTCTCCCCATCATATTCAGGTACACTGATCAAACGTTGATTAGTTTTTTTCACATAATCTCATATTTCTTGGAGGCTTTGTTCATTTAACTCTTTTTTCTGTCGTATTGCCTTATCTTTTTATTTCATTGAGTTGATCTTCAGTCTCTGATATCCTTCTGGTTGATCAATTTGGCTATTAGAACTTGTGTTTGCTTTGTGTAGTTCTCGTGCTGTGTTCTTTAACTCCATTAAGTCGTTTATGTTCTTCTCTAAGCTGGTTATTCTAGTTAGCATTTAGTCTAACCTTTTTTCAAGGTTTTTGGTGTCTTTGCATTGAGTTAGAACATGTTCCTTTATCTCTGAAAAGTTTGTTATTATCCACCTTCTGAATCCTCTTTCCATCAATTCTTCGCACTCCTTCTTGGTCAAGTTGTGATCCTGTGTTGTTGAGGAATTGTGATTACTTGAAGGAGAAGAGGTGTTCTGGTCTTTGATGGTTTCACCTTTTTTGCACTGGCTTTTCCCCATCTTTGTGGATTTGCCTGGCTGTGGTGTCAGAGGTCACTTGTCTGCCTGTGTGGGCACTACTCGGTTTCTAGGGACTCCTTCAGGTTACTAGGGAAGCTTCCTGTGTCTTTTTTGTTTATGCTGGGAGATTAGTCCCGCCTCTTCTGCTGACTTGTAGGGGCTGCTGGGTTGTCAAGAATGATGTCCCGTTGCTAGGTAGGCTTTCTGTGTTTTTTTGCTAAAACATGTAGCCCATTCCCACCCTTCTAGTGGTGGGTTGTGCCCTTTCTCCACTGGGCTGGATCATTCAGCATTCATCTCAGACTGTGGCACTAGCTACGCAACCCACTAGAGTCAGAGCTTCAGCCCTCTGGGGTTTGTTGGGGAGGTTAGGGACCCACCCAGCCACACCCGGCAGTCTCCCCCTTTCAGCTTTCTCTCTCTTCAGGTCATGGGGTAGGGGCCACCGAGCTGCTCTGGCTTACAGCTTCCTCTCTCTCTGGGTTGGGGGAGGGGGTGATAGCTCAGTCTCCAGACTCTTATTCAACTCCGCACTTGTAATTCCAGGCGCTTGACTGGCAAAGATCCCCTGTTCTGTGTATTGCTGAGGCTTTGGAAGAAGTGCTTTATCTAGACCGGAACGCCAGAGTTGGAGACTTGCCGGTCAGATGCACTTTCTGTGTGAAGCAGCACCCCTCCCCGCCTCGGTCTGCCCTGAGTGGGCTTTGTGCACCCTTGGACCAGACCCGTTGAAATGCACCTGGTAGCTTGGTTGGAGCTAGGAGATCTCTGGGTTTCTACGTGTCTCTTTCACTGGGTGTTGTTCACTGGAGTGGTGTCTAATCCACCATCTTGGATCCTCCCTCCTAATACCTACTAGCACACTTTTTTTTGGTGTGAATTTTTAAAAAGTGGAACAAGAGGATATCATGTCACTTCCCTTCTAAACAAATGCCAATTGTTCCCATCCTTTAGAGGTGAGTTACAACATCTTTATGCTTCAAGATCCTCCATAATCATGTTCGTGATCTTGCACCTTGTTATCTTTCAAGCCATGTATTTCAGTTGATCTCTGGAGTCATCCTAGATTCCAGACACATATATTATTTGCTATTCCATGCACATGAAAAGTTATTTCCCACCTCTGTGCCTTTTTGTATGTTATCCCTTTATTCTTGAATACTTTTACTTTCCCCTAGGTGCATTTCTTACCACCTATCATTTTTTTTAAAGGAAAATTCAAATATCACCTCCTGCATGATGCCAAACAAGGCTGAGCCCTACTTAGTGCTGCAATAAACTTTGTTTCTACTAATTTCTTCTGAAATGTCTCATATTTGATTATTTGCGTATTTTCTGCAACACACAATAGTAAGCTCCTTAAAAGACTACTTTCTAGTTTTTGTTTTTATTCCTAGGTTCCTAACTTAGTACTTTGGACAAAATAGGTATTAAGACAATATTTGTAAGTCAATGAATAAGTAGCAGTACGGAGAAAATCTTATTATTTTCAGATGCAGAACCCATTCTTCCCTCCCAGACCTGGTTTTTATTGGATTGCTGTGATCATTCATGTAGTATGAGGAGTGAGAGCTCTATGTGAGGAGTAACAATAAATGATGACTCAACTGTTTTCTAAAGGATATGGTTTCATCTAAATGTTTAATGTGTGTGTTGCTCAATGGAGTATAATGTTTGGGCAAACTAAATGTTCCAAGACAAAATAAGTAATTTGAGAAGCTCTATGGGTTGAGGGCTGGATCTAGAGACAGAATCAGGGAGCTAAGCAAGCTGTAGCAAGAGAGGAACTTCAGTTATAGAACAGAGACCTAAGGAGACATTTAAGTTTGTTTCAGTGACTTAAGTGATTATAAGGGAGAAAGAAAGCATGACTGATTATATGCTTTATCATGTCCTTTGTGCAGTGACATTTTTTCCCACATGATTTAAAATGGAGAGCTAAATGAACACTACTTACTAAAAGTCAAAGTAGTAGGATACTAAGATTTCAGCAATGGCTGATGAGCTAATGAAAACACTATTACACATATCAAATTCTCTGAAATTTTTTCACCGGCAAGCATTCTTTCTGATATTGTATTTAAAAATGTCAATGCTGAAGCTTTTTAGTTTCATTACTAAAATCATATTTTACACTTATTAAATGCTATACATGTTTATCTGTATTCATGTGATATATATGGCACTACTTCAATATTATACAGTACATTGAAAATATAAAAATTTGGAATCTTCATTTATACTTAGTTACATTTATGTGTATGTATAAATGTAAATTATACTTCTAGTTAAAAATCAAGCTGAAAAATTTCTGTTTTAGTCACCAAAATTAATCTTATGAAAGAATATGAAAGATAATGGGTTACATGCAAATAAATAGCATATACAGAATAAGAATGCAGAACCTAACCTGTGACACTGTCACTTAGAAGCTCTTTGGCTATCTTTAAGTAATATGACCTATTACAATTAAATTTACTTAAATATAAAACAGGCTTATTAGTAGTAGCAAACTCCATGGCTTATATAAGAATGGAATGATCAGCTGTTTAAAAGTACACAATACTTCCATTTTCACTACATGTTGCCATTTTATTATAATGATTATGTTACATCATCATCTCTTCCTGTTAAAACAATATAGCACTAGGGTTGGGCACGGTGGCTCATACCTGTAACTGGAATGCCAAGGTTGATGGATCACCTGAGGTCAGCAGTTCGAGACCAGCCTGGCCAACATGGTGAAACCCCATCTCTACTAAAAATACAAAAATTAGCTGGGCACAGTGGCGCACCTGTAGTCCCAGCTCCTCGGGAGACTGAGGCAGGAGAAACACTTGAACCCAGGAGGTGGAGGTTGCAGTGAGCTGAGATTGTGTCACTGCACTTCAGCCTGGGAAACAGAGCAAGACTTCATATCTCAAAAAAAAACCAAACAAACTCAATAAACGTATATCTAACCCTGTTTCTTAGAAAGAAACAGTATCTAATCTTTCCCACTAATCTTATAATTTAGGTGTGTAAAAGTTCTAGTTTTATTTGAATCAAACTCAACTGATTCCAAGTTAATTATATGTTATTTCTCTCTTGCTTCTCTACAGTATGCTGTCTGGCTAGTCCTCTGGGTTACGTGGAATGTGTTTGTTATCTGCTTCTATTTGGAGGCTGGGGACCTCTCAAAGGTAATGTACCTCTAATTTGCCTGAGTCATCAGTAGTGTGTTGACAAGTCTCTTCCTAAGGCAGAGTCACATCCTGTTCTGCTTGCTTAGTTGCACCTCAATGAAAGTAAATTGGAAGGTGTCCGGATTTATATTTCTGTGTTTTTATCATCAAAAATATGTTTGGTGAGTCACAAATATGTACTTTTTCTTAAGCAAAACTAACATGAAATGATTATTATAATGACCAAGCAGTGCACTCAAAAACATTAACGAATGAGAGATTTCTGAAGCAAAATATGAAATTTTTTCAGAGAAAAACGTCTTAAAGATTTCTGAAATCACTTAGTTGGCGTATTACCCTGCTAAACATTTTCCTTATTGATTTTAAATAGCAGTACAATAATTTAAACAGTTAATGGGTTTTGATGGAATGAAATTGTTATTAGAGGGACATGATATAGAAGTGAAAAAAGTAAACACTTTATTCTAACATAGGCTAGGAAAACTAAATACTTGCTTTGTTCATTTACATTTTTGTGTGCTCTCTATATGTTATGTTGCTACTATATTTTTCATATGGAAGCCCTTACTGCTGAAATAGCATAGGTTTTAGATCTTGAAAACCATCATGCTATCAGAATGCAATTAACAGCAAATAAGTCAAATAAGGTGATCCATTTAAGGTGGTAGTAAACTCTGACTCTTGAGAGAGTTCCAAACTTGTATGTACTTCAGCATATTTAAAACTTTAAAACATAAAAATTGTAAAATGTTCTTTTACTTACCCTGTATTAGAGCTGTAGGCCCCTGCAAAGACATTGATATTTTCAAAACCCAGAGATACTCAACTGCCTTAAAAGACAAAAAGAGCTAAAATAAAAATATTTAAAAGAAAATTCCTCAGGAATTACCTTTGCCTTGCCAAGGTATATATTTGGGGAGGAGAGAGAAGAAGAGAATGGTAATATGCATTTATGATCTTACTTGCAGGAGTTTCACAAAGCACTCAGCGTGTGATATTTGTTTAATATTTAACTGTGATACGTGGCTTTATATCAAGTGAAAATCATCTAGGTTTGTTTTTATTCAATGACAAAAGATGAAGGATAAAATAAGAGGAGGACATTATGATGTGAAAGAGAGCCAAAGCATCTTGCATGTGTAATTTTATGATCAGAGTGTGGACAAGTCCTCACTGTGGCTGGCAGAATCTCCCTAGAGGATGCGATTTCTGCTTTTTTTACAGGGCATCATTCCCCACACTCTGGTTAGCAGGCAGTCTTTTCAGGAAGGTGCTGTGACCAATGAAAATAAATTGTTTCATGGCTCCAGGAGGGAACCAGACAGGATTGCTGCTTAAAACTTGCATTCGCCTCAGTATAAAAAAAGCAGGCACGCTTTCCCAAGAATTTGAATTCCTTGCCCAATTTATACATCTCTGCTACTCTATAATCCACTTTCTTCAAAGAAATTCCACAGAAGAATGACTTTTAATGATATTTTCAATTTTAAATAATCACCTTAAAAATTGTAAGGCAGGTGTTCAGACATGCTGGCTGAGTAAAATGATCCAGCAGATCATTTTACAGAGAATTTATTTAATATTAAGAAAAGAGAGAAAGAGATTTGTGCAAAGCTGGCTGCACAAATGTTCTGTAATTGTGCTCACTGCTCCACATGATGACTGCGGGCACAGAATAAAGCTGGCGATTTCATGACCTTGGACGTAGGCATTGAAACTACAGCGAGGGCACTAAGAATTCTTCCAAGGTACACGGGCAGATAATGACTATGCCTTGGCAATGAAACAGTTAATAATATTTTATTTTCTTCTCATCTTATAAACCAAGACTAGGCTCTGCAGAGCACATGAAAATTTAATAATTTCCTTTTTAACAAATAATCTAAAGGAAACCCATAAAGGGCAAAGTTATATAGTTATCTGTACTGGGTTTTTCCTCTCTTTCCTGTTCAAAGGGTTTGAAAAAGTTGTATTTATAACATTTAATTCTTTAGTTGTTGCAACTGCCTCACATTCTTCAAGTAGTACAATGCCAGAGGAAGTAACGGTAACGGAAAAATGTACAGATAGATAGAAACTAAAAATGGTACACATGAAACTTCTGATAATACTAAAAAAAATGTAAACCATTGTTTTTCTCAATCCACACACAAAAATATAGTTTGAATGTATCTACCCTATTAATGGATCAGTTAATTTGAGGCAGAGGAAGAAATATGTGAAATAGAATCAGGGTTGAAATTCTGTGGGTTTTATATATGTGAAAGAGGTGTATTTATTTCCATGAAATATTTTGGAAATAGATGATGGCTTCATCATGGTTATTGGTAAGAGATAATAAAAAGTGGTAAAACATTAAGGTAAATTTTTGTTACCTGATTAGAGTTTAGAACATTGTGCTGCCTTTTCCACTTTTTCTAATGAACTATCTGCCATCTGCTTATGAGTGAAACTGAAATTATAGCAATCAACCAACTCAGTGTGTACATTCATATTGAAATGACTTAATTTCAATAATATGATACACAGGACTAACCTATTAGGGGTATAGTTAATATAGGTACACATAGGGTTATAGTTAGTATATTTTCTTCATTGAAAATTCTATGAAAATCCAACATTAGTATTAAAATTTTAATTAACATATTTTAATTACAGTGTCCATAAAATCTAAGAAAAAATAAAAATAACCAGAGAAACTTTTAAGTGTTATATCATAGTTAAATTAACAAAATAACGGAAATATACTATAAAATGATGTATAATATGATAGCAGCAAATAGACATACACATTTTATATAATTATTTCTGCTTATGCAACATATTAGATATTAGTGTTGAAACTGAATATCCTAAAGTATCCAGCAGTGTGTAACTTCCTGAGTTGGTATTTTCATAGATGTCCTGCTAAGGAAACTGAGATATAATTAGTCTGTAACCTGAAGTGTCTGCTAACTTCGTTTGAAATTGCCTTCGAGCATTAAATGTGACTTGGACTGTTGAATTAATAGTTTTGACAATTCCTGATATAGTCTTATTATTCTGTTGTATTATTCTTGGTAATCGTGGTTCTCTTGATCATATATCAAATAGAGAGAAATAAGAACTAATCTCAGCCGTCAGCTGAGTTGAGTTATTTTCAACACAGGAGAGATACGCTATTTGTTCTGAAGTAATTTTTAAGTTGAAAGTATATAGCAGTAAGAAGGAAAACACATATAATGTGGTTATTAATCTATTCATATCACCACCTGGGAAAACAAAATTTATTAAATTATTTATTGAATAGTAATACAAAGGAAAAAAACAAACTTAGTGGTCTTCTGATTGTCCGTTAACAACTTGTATTTTATTGCATGTGATAAAATTATAAATTACTCAGGCTGAAATTATAACTTACACTTTTCTTCATATTACTATTTTCAGATCTGTTTCTACTTTCATATTGTATGGGTCACCATTAGCGAATGATGTGACTGTCTTTAGAAATAATAAGTTTACAGAGCATGAAGGATAAACTAAGGGATTATGATACACTTAAAACCACCCTGTTTGTCTTTATTTAACCCTTTGAGACTAGGGATGCAGTTCCATCTCTCTCAGATTTAATTATATTAACAGTAATTTATACCTAATATATGTTTCAGAATGAACACATTTGGAAGAAACTCCTAGAAAACTGTCATATTTTAATAATTTTGACAGTTGCTTCAGAAATCTGGATATAATTTGTCAATTTAAAAATTTGTTATATAAAAACGTCATGTAACAATGTGGCTTATTTAGGCTTTAGGGAATAAAATTGCACTCTTGTGAATATAAGGGACAGGAAGGAGATAAAACCTGTCATATACTGTAGGCTATAGGGAACAAATCCGTAAAACCAGATGCAAGTGCAATGGAATAATATGCTGTTCCAACAATCTTGGGTTTATTTCTTCTGTAACAAAATGAATAATTCATGTAGGAAGGTATCAGATGTTGGATTCTTTTGCTCAACAAAATCAATGCTTTTATCAAAATTTGCTTTTCTGACCTCATATATAAAAAGATGGTATGGAGAGTGATATATTGTAATCTTTTTTAATTTGAAAAAATAACTCTTCTTCTTTTCTTCATGAGATTAAAAATATCTGAGCAATTACTATTAAATAAAGAATACCTATAATAGTTGATTTAAGACAAAGTTTAACAAATATGACAATATATTGGGTTCATTTTTAAATTTTGATTTTCTTACTGTAAAATTTATATATATGAGAAAATTTCAATTAGCTATCACTAAACTAATTAGAAAATTTTTTATTTCCTATCAAAGCGGATTTTACCTTATGATGCAGGATGAGATATTCAACCTGTTATTAATAATTAAATGTAATATAACTTTTCCAAATCTAAAAATGAACCAACCAGTTGGGACTTGGCTAATCGCCGTCTCCCTTCTCTTATTTTCCTTAATAATTCATTGAATTAAACTGATTATTTCCTAATTTCTTAAATTCATTTTTCTTTGTTTTGTTTTCTACTTCCTTTTAATGCCCCTAAAGTGAGGAAAAGAGTCCATGAACCTTTCTTATTCTCTGTCTCCATTCTTTTACTTGAAAATACCATTCACCAACATAAGCTATCATCTTTACACATATGTCTACCAGATTTATACCTTCAGTCTTGACCTTGTTGCTAAGTTAACGTGTCACATCTCCAACTTCCTGCTGGTGTCGTGTCAATTCTATTGCCACCTTAAATTCAAAACGTCCAAAGGGATTTATCATCATCCCCAAAGAATCCAGCTTCTTTAATGCGCTTTCTACTAAGAGAAGAAAAAAGGAAAAAAATTTATTTTGAAAAAATGAAACAAAGAGGAAAAATAATTTTTTTATTATTTTTTTTGAGATAGAGTTTGACTCTGTTGCCCAGGCTGGAGTGCAGTGCCTCAATCTCAGCCCACTGTAGCCTCAGCCTCCCAGGTGCAAGCGATTCTCTTGCCTCGACCTCCC